GATTTTGAAGAAATATATATGTTGATAAGTAAATATTATTTTATAATGAAATTTAGGGTTCAAATGTTAAGATAAACACTTAAGAAAAATAATCTATTATCATGCTAGGTCAGCAAACTAAATGCACCAATTGAATATATCAAACTAATGTGGCGTATTAGACTTCTTGAAAGAACCAAACTAATGAGGTAGATACGAGCCCTTTTTAATTTTTTATAAGGAGAAGTTACATTTTATTCCAAACTATATGCCCCATGAAAGGGGACTACAACTACACTGGGCATAGCTAGGCTATTACCATCTGTTTACATCCCAATTAATAATCTCAAATGAGAAGCAACAATGTTAACTACAGATATTAACATTTTCATCCACTCCTGTAAACACGCCAATATCCCTTTCATGCCATAAAGAGTACACAGCTACTGCAAATGCTACCTTTAAATAGATACCTCTTCTTCAATTCCTCTTGCTTCATGCTGTAGCCAGGGCCATTCAGCACTGCATTGCATTGAATCATGAGTAACCCCCAATCGTTGCAGTGTTAAGCTCCAAACCTCTTTACAATAAATACATGAAAAGAAGAGGTCTGGTCAATATTTTCCATCAAATGTCCACAAAAAACACAAGCGTCAATAGTCAGGCGTCTCCTCACAAGCTGCTCATTTGTCTTCAGCCTTCCTCTTGCTGCAAGCCACAAAACGAAGCTATGCCTAGGAACAGTAGTTCTATTCCAAGCCTGTCTATGCCATTGAATTCTTAAACCCCTGTTTCTAATGGCATCATAACATCTAGCCACTGAGAAGGTACCAGACTTTCCCTGCATACTACACAGTCAGCACCCGACTGGGTCTGCAGCTTACAAATCTGCTCTGCTAACTGAGGGTGACTTCCTCTGAAGCTGTTTGGTATGTTCCAACCCAAAGAATTTCTCCCACTAGCCACCATTAAGTGAGGCCCCCACGCAGCAACCTGCACACCAAGATCAACAAGTTTCATTTCCCACACCAAATATCATAACATAATGATGTTTGACGCCCATCACCCACTGGCCACTGCCATGCTAATAAAACCTCTAACCTTGCATCTCAGCTACAATATTTTTTTTTCCAAGACCAGGCCAGATCAATCGGGACTAGTACAAACCATACTGATTTACCTTTGCGTTTTGCATAAGCCCATTGCACCCAAATATCAGGTTTCCTTGCCAGATACTCCACAGGTGTTTGCACATAATGGCTTGATTCCACTCTTTAAATTGCTTCAGGCCCAAACCACCTCCGCAAACAGATTTTATCCCGGGCAATCATAGGCATGCCTGTTGAATTCCAGGTATCTGACCAAAGGAAATTCCTCCATATGCCCTCAATTAACTGTAGCACCTTGCTAGGTAGTATAAAGACACTAAACCAGTACATTTAGACCTGAAACAACACTGAGGATATGAGCTGTGCCCTTCCAGAAAATCACAGGAATCTATTGCTTCAGTTTCCAATCTTCTGCTTTGTGTTGTCCAGTGGTAGATAAAAGCTTATAATCACATGAAAAGTGATTACTCTCGAAGTGTGGACAATTTGATCTGAACCACTCTTAACATCAATAAAGGAAAAGCCCGTACAATTCATTACATAATTACATCCTACTCATAGAAATACTCTCTATTTCCACGAACACCAAAGAAACCACAAATCAAGAACAGTGAACAGAGCAAAAACATGGAGGATCAGGTGGGATGGGGTAACAAAGTCAGGCTCCTTCCGTTGTCCTAAATGATGTACTTTAAAATATGATAGCTTCTTTACGCCCCTGCTTTCCTCTGTTGAAACTTGAAATTGGTAGATCTCATTGGCTAAAATGAAAGGATTTAAAAACCAATTAGAAAATGAAATCACGTACAATCCACTTTCTGCTTCAACCACAAAAATAATGCAAACTGTATCAGTTCACAAATTCTATCCACATTCCACTCCTGTTGCTGGAAAACATTATTTCTAGCAATCCATACCAACTACTAGCAAACAACCGGAAACATAAAAAAACACGTCTTTGTTTAGGGCTGCACCGCGGTTTGTATTTTTCTGTATTAATAATATATAAAAATATTAATTAAAAGAATAAAAATATGAAAAAAGTGTAAAATGTGAATAGATAATTATTTTTTATTTAAAAATTAAGATAAATTTTAATTATGAAAAATAAA